GCACAGCCCAAGAGCAACGGCATTGATGGAGCCGCTGCGAGAGCCCAGCCTGGGACCTATCGCCACAGAAAGCACAGAAACTCAAAGCGCGGGGGCCCTGGTATGCGGTGAAGCAGCTGCAGCTCTTCCCCACCCACCTAGCTTGGCACATCTGGAAAAGACTGTGGGCAAGCAGAGCCAGCGAGGAGAGTGGGAACAGGCAATGGAAAGAACAAGCTCTGTTCTACAAAGCAGACATCTCTTACCATTATCCCCCCTGCCCCAGGCAAACACTTCCCGTTCATTTGAAACTGCCAGGACGTGAGACGCGCCACAGGCCACCTGCACCATCTCGTAGCCCAGCAGGGCCTCCACGATCTTGGGCTGGCAGGGGGAGAGCAGCAGCCGTCCGACCCCCCCCAGCCTGCCCGGCTGCTCCCATTCCTCCCCCCCGGCCCCCCCAGCCTCAACACAGTGCTGGCAGCATCCCAGTTTTCATCCAACACAAACACCAGAGAATTATTTTTTTTTTTTCTTCCCAACAGTCTTCAAAGGGTTTAGAGACTACGTGCACGCAGCACAGAAGATAATGCAAACATCTCTGGGCCGGAAGAAAGCAGCCAGCACAACGGTTTGGAGATGGAACGGGTTCAGCCGAAGGCTTGGGATTCGCCCCCCTGCCCATCTGGGGAGTGCCAGGGGCTGTTAACGCACGCTCCGAGCAGGCAGGGGCTTGGTGCAGGATGTGTTGGCTGAAAGGCTCTTGTGCAGAGGAGCTGTGAGCTATCGGCTCTGTATTCGTTAGGGTGTGAGAGAGACCAGGATCTCCACATTTCACCCAGCCCCTGCTGTGACCTGCTGTTAGATCTGACACCTCGCCACAGCGAGCCTCATTCTCATTATCTTCTGGAAGTGAAAAGCACCATTTGTCGGGATGTGGCTGCTGCTCCCAACTGGTCTCCCCTCCCCAACAATAAGCACTGAGCAGCTCAGCTCCGGACAGAGCAAGAATGAACGAGCCAGCTGACCAGTGA